AATCCACTTTTTGACACTTAGCCATGCATGCATAAGTGGAATGTGTGTTGTAAGCTTTTGGTGAACTTAGACATGCATTTTGACACTTAGTCATGCCATGCATGAGTGGAATGTGTGTTGTAAGCTTTTGGTGAACTTTGACATGCAAGAGTTGCATGTAATTTGCTTATTTAAGAAGGCATTTGTTCAAACATTAAAAGGTCTTGGAACCTTTGGCTATTTTTTTCAAAAAAAGCTTACATAACTCTTTTTAGCTCCACTTTGCTCTAAATTGTTCCTTCTCTAAAAAGAGTCCCACTACTCTATTCCAAACCTTGAGAATAGCTAGGAAGATCTCTTGGTGGTCCTTCATTGGAGCTATTTGAAGATTTTTGAAAAGCTACAAAGGTTTGTATTTTTTTCTACTTATCTCTAAGCATCATAATGTATGATCATGCATGTTTAATCCTAGATTGTATTATACATCTAGATTGTTATTTCGATTCTTGCTGACTTCCGCTGCGCATGTATGTATATTATCCATCATGTGGTATCAGAGCATCTAGAATAACATTCATTTGCATATGGTGGGTACAAATTCATTTGATGAATGTTGTGGTTGAATTAAGTTGGATATATTACGGTTTTGGCAATCCTCTTAATTTTGGCCTGTATTTATGTCCTTTTATTTGTATTTTGTTTTTTCTTCCGGAGTCATTAGAGTTGAAATTAGGTTGTAATTTGGTCAAATTCAAAGAGAAAAAGGCTGAAATTTAGCTTCAGACTGGCCTGCAACAAATATTTCGACCCAGTTCGATTTTCCTCCCTTGTGGTCTGGTTCGTGCTGTTTCAAGCCGGTTTGGGTTCATGGAGGTTCGGTTTGAAGGGGTTCAAGGCCGGTTCAAGCTTTTGCAAAACTGTTTTGTAATAATTTAGTTTAATTTAGTTGTAAGGATGCCAAAAACGGTCCAATTTAATTGTTGATTTAATTATGCATTATGCATTATGAATGTATGAATTAAATGTTTTATATTGAATGTGCATAATGTATGCCATTTAGATTTAAAATCCCACCATAGGATTAAGCATGTATCATGCATAAGGTATCTTGTAAGTAGTTATAATGTATAGTATGCATGATAAGTTCAAATTTTGATTTGAATGTATGGTTATGGAGCATGCCTATAGTTTATAAGTGTTATAAAAGAAATAGACATTAAAATCCATAACAAAGATAATATGCATGCTCACTTAGGGTTAAATGGCCAATGCAAAGTTTTCATAGGCAAAAACTAGGTCGTTAACTCATAAATTGGTAAAACAYGAACACTCACCCGATAAAATCTTGTCTAAGGCTGGGGGTATTTAAGTTGACGGTTTACGGAACACCCCCTACCTGGAGATTGAGTCGGTTCTTGAGTTGTGTTAACCAATTTCATGAGCATGCGTGAGTGGTGTGSGGTAATAAAACTGGTTTATCACCTAGAYATCGTAGGTTTAAATCCAATATAARAGTTATATTTGGATCAATCAYCTAAACTTAGGATATGTTTATTTAGCCTAAATATATGTCTAAGTGAAAGTATACCCTAAACCGTCAAGAACACTTCAGCTGGAGATTAGTAACATACTATTAGCTCTAGCGTCCCTAAGAGTTCACAACGTGAGATCCATGCTTGGCTTCGTGTCGCCCTGGGAGCGGCCTCCCTTCGGAGAGTGTTTGCATGGGTTATGAACAGGGTGAATAGGGGAAGTAGTTCATAGTAAGTGGGTGAAGGATTAGTGTCAACAAAATCTTACGGTCTCTTCCATTAGGTCGCACCGTGAGAGTCCTATAATGCGCCTGCATGTCTGCCCTGGAGCGACCTTACCAATCGGAGGGTGGTATTATAGGATTCGGAACACCGCGAACTCCTAAAAGGATAGGATTTCTTAGATTCGTTTTCAATCTTGACTTTCCAATTTCGGGAGCATATTGATCCTAATCTTAGAAGTCTGAAAGTGGCAGGTCACACTTACAAGAATTACTAAGAGTTAGTATATTCTTGACCAAACCAAATGATAACTAAAGGCTATAGGAATAACAGTTATTGGTATTAGCATTTAGTCAAGATTGTCTTAATTCAATGGAGGAATGGTTGACTGCCTCTCGGTGGAGGCTGTTCTAAACCATTGAAGTATCGTTGCAAATATAAATAAAAATTGGGTACTTTATTAGAATTTGCTAAAATTAAAATTGGATTTAGAACTTATATAAAGTATGTTTGTTTTTCAGCATGAATAGCTCAATAGTTCAACTCTTAGCTTCGGAAACACTAAACGGAGATAATTATTCAACGTGGAAAAACAATCTGAATACAATACTAGTTGTCGATGACCTACAATTCGTTTTAACTGAGGAATGTCCACAAACCCCTGCCGTACATTCCAACTGAAATGTTCGGGAAGCATTTGATCGATGGGTCAAAGCCAACGATAAGGCCCGTGTCTACATTCTTGCCAGCATGACTGATGTATTGGCAAAGAAACATGAACCCTTGACGACTGCAAAGGAAATCTTGGATTCATTAAAGGCAATGTTCGGGCAACCTTCGTCGACTTTGAGACAGAGGCACTTAAATACGTTTACAACAAGCATATGAAGGAGGGGACCTCTGTTACAGAACATGTCCTGGACATGATGGTCCACTTCAATACTGCTGAAGTGAACGGGGCCACCATTGATGAGGCAAGTCAAGTAAGTTTTATTATGGAGTCTCTTCCGAAGAGCTTCATACCCTTTCAGACCAATGCTGCTCTGAATAAAATAGAATTCAACTTGACAACCCTTCTAAACGAGCTCTAGCGTTTCCAGAACCTTACTAAGGCTAAGGGGAAGGAAGTGGAGGCAAACGTTGCCACCAGAAAGAAAATACCAAGAGGTTCGACCTCTAAAGCAAAAGCTGGACCTTCAAAAAACAGAAATGTTCAAATAAAGAAGAAGAAGGAAAAGGGGAAGGCTCCCGTGGTTGACAAGGGAAAGAATGTTGCAAAGGGAATCTGTTTCCATTGCAACCAAGACGAGCATTGGAAGAGAAATTGCCCGAAGTATCTTGCCGAGAAGAAGGCAGAGAAAACAACGACAGGTAAATACGATTTACTAGTTGTTGAAACATGTTTAGTGGAGTATGATACTTCCACCTGGGTACTTGATTCAGGAGCCACTAACTATATTTGTTTCTCATTTCAGGAAACTAGTTCCTGGAAGAAGCTGGAAGAAGGCGAGACAACATTTCTCTAGTGCCTTCTTAAATAAGCAAATTACATGCAACTCTTGCATGTCAAAGTTCACCAAAAGCTTACAACACATATTCCACTTATGCATGGCATGGATAAGTGTCAAAATGCATGTCTAAGTTCAACAAAAGCTTACAACACACATTCCACTCATGCATGACATGACTAAGTGTCAAAATGCATGTCTAAGTTCACCAAAAGCTTACAACACACATTCCACTTATGCATGCATGGCTAAGTGTCAAAAAGTGGATTTTTGAGATTATTTAAATGTTCCACTCA